GATACCTCCTACCGTTCTTCTATTCTTAAGGAGTGCTTTGCTTATTCGGGGCTTTTTTCCATTCCATACGAAATTGGAGATTGCCTTTTCCATCTCGTTAGATTCAGTTGATTTTATACATAGATTTACAAGAAGGCATTTGGTAGACATGATCGTAGGGGAAATAATTAAACCATTTAAGATAAATTGTATCTAATAATCCTTAGTAGAGGATCCTGGTCTACTGCTGCAATCTCAAAAGCGCTTGGTTTGAATCCACCAGCTGCTCTAAGGGAGAAGGATGGACAATCATTTCCTCTTGTTATGATTTCCTGTCTCCGAAAACCTGCTAAAAGAGTCTGTGGCAACTGGGGATTGGTTCTGACTAGAAAGCACACAACAACAACAAACCTCCTTAGAGTCTGTCTTAATACTCACTAACAGTGGCTTTTATTTCTTCCCTCATCCCAGTTAAAGTTGATTCTCCGTGGGACTCGGGTGTGGCTTTATAATTAAGACTTTTAACAAATTTCTATTCAATATATTTGAAAAGTTAATGAGATTTTATGCTGTCAGATGTGTCAAAGTTACTTGGTGGGAGCATAGATGTTTGAAGTGTATAAACTATGAGTTTATCCATTAACATCATCTCCTTTTTAGCTAATCTTTTAAAAACAGGCTTTAAAAAATTAGCTTGAGTCAGTACCAACCCCAGTTATTTTGTGGTTAAATTATTTAGGAATGAAATGGCTAGAAGGAAGTGGTCAGAAAAGGAGGAAATGCCATGGTAGCAATGACAATAAAATTGAAAAGGACAGCATTGTCCTCAGTTTATTCAATGAATGAGGAATTTGACCCCTTAATTGCCACTCTTCTGAAGGAAAGTAGTTAGGAGATGTTTTATGTTATAAATCTACCTGTAATCCTATTTGGATCACTTCTTCCAGGTTCCGGTGTGACCTCAATTCAATAATCTCTTCAGATCTCTGTAGCTGCTTTATTGGAGATTTTATTCAGTAGAGTTAGGGTTTATTATATAGACTATATGCCTAATGAAATAATTCTGCGTGGTTTTTTTTTTAGAAAATATATAGAGAACTATTTCTTTTAGTGGTTTACTAGCTTAACAAAATTAATAACATCTGCAATGTGTAAGGTAAATTAGATTCTACATTATATACTATTATAATTCACTCTTTCACTATAAATATGTTCATAAGATACGTTAGTCTTGGACCCTGAGGAGATGTGATGGTTAATAATTCTAAAAAGTTTATCGATAATGATCCTGCATCAGGATCCCAAGCAGAGCACTACTGTTTTTGTCACATAAACTATAACTCATAGTGACCCCATGGACAACAAATCAGAAACCTGCCCTGTCCTGTCCTGTGCCATCGTCACCATCTCTGATACACTTCTAAACCATTGTTACAGTCTGTGTCAGTCAGTCTATCTCTTGAGGGTCTTCCCCTCCTTCACTTTTCCATCCACCTTTTCCAGCATGATGTCTTTTTCCAAAGACTAGCACTGCCTGATGACATGTCCAGAGTATGAGAGATAAAGTTTCACTATTCTTGCCTCCAACAGCACTTTGGTTGTACATTTTCTAAGACATATTTGTTTGTTCTTTTCATAATCATATGATTAGCACAATCATGTTTATAATTTTTATTCTATTAAAATTTATAATTTCCAAGTAAATTGTACTGGGTAAATTAATTTATTCAACATGACTTCTTTTTTCTTCATTTTTTTTGTTTTATAAATCATACTGATCTTTTCATACAATCATTTATAGATATTTTGTTTTACAGGATTAATTAATTATTACAGGAATAATTAAATGTCTAATTAGTTAATTAAAATGTCTAATCAACCCTTTTTAAGGTGCTCAGGTGGCCTGCTGGTAAGAAGCTGCGGTGTAATCCCAGAGATACGTGGTTTGAATCCACCAGCTAATCTGTGGGAGAAGGTTGGGCAATCTTCTCAGGATTAACTGCCTTTGAACTTCTGGAGGGTCAGCTATGAGTGAATTCTTACAACACATGATAACAACAACAATAATCAGCCACTTCCTGTCAGCACAATTCCTTGAATGCCTTATCTTTTCAGCAACTATTGTGTACTGTTGAGTCAGTATGAATCTCCCATAGATAGCCCTCCAGCAGAATTTCTAAGGTGATAAATTGCATGAAAGGAGATCACCCATCTTCTCCTGAGGGCCAGCTGATAGATTCAAACTGCATACCTTTCTATTGGCAGTGCAGTTTCTTACCACTAAGCCATGAGAGCTGCCTTTAAACGGTGGTGATGAAATAAACGTTACTGCTGTATTGCTGCAGAGGAGGCTAGTGCAAGGGTGGTGAACCCAACTGGCAAATCACAAGGTTGATAAGTATTCAGACAGAATAGGGAAAGCCCAAATGAACCATTTACTCTTGAAGTCTCAGTCTCTATTCATTGTTTATGTTTAAACTTTAGGATATTAGTATGGAATTAAGATTTGCCATGTCTACCACAGTGCTGATTCTCAAACATTGATTCAGAGGCTGATTATCTGGGGAGCTTTCAAAAGTGCACAAGCCTTACCCAAGATTTAGACTAAAATCTCTGATCATATATCTGCTGTGTTGATTTTGAAAAAGTGATTCTAATTGGGCACTTTGGATCAAGATTTGCCCTGTGGGGCCAGCACTCCAAACCCAGAGTTGAATTTTGATGAATTTTGGTTTTAACTTAATATTTGTGTGACATCTTAACAGCTCATTATTTGTGGACTTGGGAAGATAGATGTTAACGACTGGAAGGTGAATACACGGTTAAAACACTGTACCCCAGACAGCAATGTTGTGAAGTGGTTCTGGAAAGCTGTGGAGCTCTTTGATGAAGAACGACGAGCACGGTTACTTCAGTTTGTGACGGGATCCTCTCGAGTGCCTCTGCAAGGCTTCAAAGCTTTACAAGGTAAACAGGCCTGACAGACAGACAGACAGCATGGCAAGCACAGTGCTGACTGGGGGAGGAGATTATGAATACAGCTTTGGAGGGATGCCTTGTGGGCCATTTTACAGACTGTGTGCTCTTGATCTCTTCTCTGTAACTCCAGTGTCTCAATACCACCTTCTGCTCTTCTACCTTTGTTCCTTCCCAAAAGCCTTTTCTGCTAGAGGTCCCTGTGGTTCTATTGAGTGCTGTGTATTTGAGGTGGCTTATGGTGATGCTGTGCCTTTGATTTTTTAGTCACTTTGCTTTTCAATTTGACTGCACATTTCCACAGGAAGCCAATCCACTTCCAAGTTCCATCTCAACAAAATATTTCTCTCTCTGGATGTCTTTCTCCTCCCCGTTTTTCTTTTAATAGAAAGAGCCAGCAGGAGTGGTGAGCACCATCTGCTTGGTCAGAGCACCTTTAACTATTGAATGGCATCAGACCATTTACTTAAAACCCTATTCCATTTCTTGAAAATTTTTTTCTGTGCAGTAAGCAGTTTAATTTGTGGATGAGTTGATAATGTTGCTAATAATGATAATACTTCCCTGGAATGCTGTGGCTTCCTGTAAACCCTTTTCAGAGTTGCTGATGATGACTGCGAAAGTATTAAAGACTCACAGTGATACCCACAGTTAGGCGCTGAGTCTCTGGGGAAGGTGTACCCTTGAGTTGTGCCTACGTTTGTGGAGAACTTGTTATAGTGAAATTGTGTTTTCTCCTACGTGTGTTTATGTGGATGTTTATACCCATACATAATAGAAATTTATTTGCTAGACTGCTTATGTTTTATTCTCAGCCTAGCTTAAACCATGTAATCTAACTTTCTTCTCTTTATGTTGGGACTTTAATTCTTATACAAGATGAAAAATTGCAAAAAGATTTCAATCTGGAGATTTTTCCCTCTCGAGTTGAAATGTTAGCATATTTAAGTATCTAGCCTTATCTCAGGGCACTTGCAGCTTTCAAAACCAAAACACAGGCTTTTCCTTGCCACCCTGGCGTAGCTTGTGTGAGTTCACTTGTGGTTTGTGGATGAGTTTATATTCTTAGATCCCGGCAGCTGCCGCACGTCCCACAGTGATCTGACCCACTTTGACTGCTCTTGCAGGTGCTGCAGGCCCGCGGCTCTTCACCATCCACCAGATTGATGCCTGCACCAACAACCTGCCAAAAGCTCACACTTGGTAAGGTTTTTTAGCCTCTTTTTCCATTCCATGTTGGTCTACAGATACAACTTTTCGCTTCTCATTCTTAATATTAAATGTTGCATTTAAAGAACGATAACCCATCACCCAACCAATAAAGGTGGTTCCAGCTAGTGACCTTGTACCCTGTAGGATTTCCAAGGCTGAAATTTTTATGGAAGAAGACTATCATGTAGTTCCCTGAAGGAATGGCTGGTGGTTTTATATGCTTAGCCACTTGTGCCACCAGGGCTCCTTAAAATGAAACACACATTTTTATTGCTGCATTATTTACAATAGTAAAGAGATGGAAACAACCCAAATGCCCATCAGCAAATGAGTGGATAGGAAAACTAGGGTATATTCATACCATGGAATACTACATAGCACTGAAAAAAACAGTGAACTCATGAAACATTACATGGCATGGGGACCATGGAGGACATGATGCAGAGTGAAGTATCTCAGTCACAAAAGGACAAATACTGTTATAAAGCAAGTCTGACATAGATGGTTGGAAGGAGACTAGGAGTAAGACTGGGTAGATAATATCATTGCATTGTAACAGGTGAAAGAAAGCTGTTTAAGAGGAATATATGATTAGGCATTATATGTAGAACAGCCCAGAATAAGAAGTATATCATTGCAAGAGGAGTGGTGGTGGTGGTGGGGGGGGGTGGCAGGGAGAGGTAATTGTGCAACAATGAATGAATTTTTTTAAGTGAACTGGGGAGGAGAAGGGGTAAAATGTGCAGCAGTGAATGAATGAAAATCTAACTTCTTTGTAAACATTTGTTAAAATCGCAACTAAAAGTTTTATTTAAAAAAAATAAACTGTAATCACTGTTGGGGAAAATAAAAGAGAAAGCAATGATAAGTAACTCTTTTAAATGATTTAGAAGTTAAAATTACTTCAAGATTAGTAGGAAAACCCCATAGGGTTAGTCTCTGGCCTAGAGACATGTGCAAAACAGTCAGAGGTAGGTGGCCATATTAGAATGACCTTCCTCAACGAGTTTGTTGTAAAATTTTTAATTTGTTTCCACTTTGCCTATTTTGAATAAACTTTATAAAATCTGATTTGCTTCTTCACAGCTTCAATAGAATTGACATTCCACCTTATGAAAGTTATGAAAAGCTATATGAAAAGCTGCTAACAGCCATTGAAGAAACATGTGGATTTGCCGTGGAATAACAATGTCCGAGATCAACCCAGGACTCTCTTTAGGCCACTGACTGACAGCCTTCTTTCAGCGAAGTTTCATGGAATGCTGAAATACAGAAATTTTCTCTCCTCTTTTTTGAATGTTAGGACACTATGAGGGGAAAGGACAATTTTGAAATTCCTTTTCAAGGGAAAAAAGGGTCTTTATGCTTTGCCATGAGGCCACATTCAGCTGCTATTTAAAATTAATATCTTGAACCTAAAGAATGCTGACTTTTCCTACATTTCCAGAGTTAGGCAGTATTCGACACCTAAAAGACTACTATTTTTATAAAAGGTAATCTATTCAAATTGCTTCACAGATTTCAAGTCTCTGAAACATCAAGACAACTTCAGCAGTCGGTACCAGTCACATTTCAATGAAATTGAATACATGATTGTGAACAGCTCCTGTACTTACTCTTTGTAAAAACAAAATAAAATTATTTTGGATTATTCTAACTTTGTAAAAAAATTGGTTAAAAGAATCATTATCTTTTAAAAAACTAAAACACTTAACATGTTTAATTACATTTTCCTATAGCAAAGCATTCTATTTTGCATTATCTGTTCAACCTAGCCTAAGTGAATCTTTTCTATTTTTCAAGCATGAATTTCCTGGAATACAACTATATCATTTTGGTTGTAAAATTCCTAATACAACCAGTTAGTCTAAACTTAGTAGTTTATTTGATACAATAAAGTATGTTCTAGGACTCCCTGTTTAAAAGACTTAAAAAAAAAATTTCTGATGATTTTTATCTGGAACCAGTATAATCAGGTATTTTGGATATATGTTTCATCTTAAATGGAAATACTGCCTTTTTTTTTAAATAGCTCCTGATATCATGCGGATAGGATGGTATTTTAATAATTCTTCTGCTGGGTCAGTTTACCTTTTGATACACTATTTCTATAAACCAAAGTCTCTTTTGATAAGTGTACCTGATGTCTATTACATTTTAATTACAGAGTAGGTTTCTGTCAACCATCCTGAATCTTTAACTGCTCATGACATTTCATACAACTAAAACAATGAAAAAGGAAGGATACACTAAAGATTATCTAGGAAATTTAGAAAGCCCAACTTTTACCAACAACACAAAGCAAAGGTGGTCATTGAAATGGTGAGGAATATTGATACTGGAGAAGCAGTGATTCTAACTCTCTAAATTACTTTAAAACTGAAGGGTTAATTTTGGATATAAGGGTGTTCGTTCTTCTGATGTTGAAGACCCACATCTGATTATGAAATGTGCAGATTCAGCACATTTCCCAGGGTGTGGAATGTTGCATGATCCCAGAAGGCAGCCAAAACTGGGAGGCAAGGGATTAGAAAAAGCTGAGACCATGAGCAGATTTCTTATTTCCACCATCACAAATCTGCACTATTTTTATTTCTATGTGGTTGTGAAATGATTGAGAATAACAACTGTTGTTGAGGCTGAGTTGTTTGACTTTTGCTTTTTAAATTATTGTTCTTTCTGTCTGTTCCTGGGGACCAGAAGGTTCTTCAGGTGCTGCTGGGAGTGATGGTTCAAGAGCAGAGGGAGGGCCTCTCCGCTCCCTGCCTCTTGCTCAGAGCAGCTACTTTTTACATTTTGGGATTCCAAGCAGCTTTCTCTGGGGAAGAGATGGAGGGTTGTAAGAAAGGTGAAGATTTTGCTGTTTCAGAGAAAGTTGGGAACTGCCTGTGTAGTTTCCAAATATTAAACATATTTCATGTGGCCAAATTTGCTACAAGTTCGTCCATTTTAGTCATAATTGTAATGTGCTTACACCAGTCTTTCTTTGCGAACATTTTTATCTTTAACCTACTACATTCTTAGACATACTGAAGAAATCTTGAAATGTACAGAAATGGTTTCTATACTATTGGATTGTCAATAGCTTCCTGCTTTTACAGTAGAACTTTATTGCAGGCCCATTTCTCTTTCCAATTAAAGCACTAGTGCTGTTTGTAATTGTGCCTACTCAGTGCTTCTGCAAAAAGTGAGTACATGATCCACATTTTATAGAAATCATGACTGGCAGGGATGCAGTAATTATGAAATGTTACTATCAGTTGTTACAGTGTACAAGAGAGAGCAGGCAAAAGTCATCACTTTTTGAGTGCCTTTTTAACTTGATAATACTGATTTCTTCAATAGAGCTTTAAAAGAAATGAATTACACTTGGTACCAGTCTATGGTATCACCACTATGATTTATAAAAACATGATTTCAATTTAAAAATTATGTTATTTACCTGATTGCTCCCAAACAGGTGCTAAGCAAACAAAAACTCCCTGTGTCCTTGAACCTTGGACTTGCACCTCATGTTTAATGTGAATATTTATTTCCATGTGTCCCTCTTTAACTGGCTGTTTCTTATCCATGCTCTAGTTCTGTTATTCCAGCTCTGTGGCGTCACCTTCTCATACTATTGCCTCTCCATCATGAATGCTAAGTTATGAACAGTGATTTACTTTTAAAGCTCCTATGAGCACAGAGGTGAGTTTTGTCCCAGAGGGTCTTATTTCTTGATGTAAAGAGTTTTTAAATAGTGCTGTGTATAGTGTACATTTTGTTTTGCACATAGTTTGTTGCCCTGAATGGGTTTCATTTTTACCAAGTCTTTTACTTTTTCCTTCTCTCTTATATTTACAGTCCAGAGCACAAGTTTCCCTTCTCTTAAAAATGTTGTCGGTTGTTTTCTTTCACAACACTACAGCTGAATTGAACTTCTGGTGCATTGAACTGACTGCATTGCTGGAACTAGACTGTCCCAGCCGTCTTTGCAGTTTGATAGAGCAGCTCTCTCTGCTTTTGTTTTTTAAGCTGCAGCCTGCAGTCAACGGGTACCGTTTGTGGTATTTAACATTCTGTTAGGATGATGATTGTACCAAATGCTGAGTTGTTTTGTTTCTAGATGTAATTAGTTCACTTAATGTAATATTCTTCCTTCTTTCAAACGGACTTTAAAAACAAAGTTTTATCATTTTTGTTGTATTTGTATTTATTACAGTGTTTTAGCTTTGATATTTGTATTTTCACTCAGCTGTTTAAACAGTGAGCTTTATCAATAACATCTGTATAAATGGTTTTTAAAAATTAACTATGTATTTGCCCATACTGAAGTTGAGCAATAAAATGAATGCTGTTTGCACTGTCACAGCATTAAAATTTTTAAAGAATACTGAGTTTGTAATGCCTTGTTTCAAAAATAGGATTTGTGAGTTCAGGGAGAAGGATGTTGGCTTGTCACACCACAGAGCTTCAGTGGGCTCTGGGCCCCTCCTTTCTGTCTCTTTAGCTGATGTCGTGGTCACTTGGTGGTGGCTGGCTGCATGCTGTGCAAAGATGGCTTTCTAAGGCCACCCAAGCACAGTGGGGAAGAGAATCCCAGCCCTACAATGTCGTGTTGGTCAGGGTTCCAGAGCAGAGCTGAGGCAAAGGTCTCCTGTTTGCCTTGTCCCCCTTGGTGTTGAGCAGTAAAGTCATGGTGTCCTGTAGAACTATGTGGCTGGAAGGGAGAGACTGTTTTTCCTTCTGATTCAAGCCTGGGAGAACACACTGTAAATAGTAGCAGTGTATTGAAGTGCAGGGCTTCTTTTCTTTTTTAATTTTTCCCTTCTGCTTTTTCTCACATGGCCTTATTTTCTACATATGATCTAAAATTTGTAAGTTACAGAATAGTATTTTAGTATTAATCCTTTTATATTTTAGTATTAAGCCTATAAATTACCCCAAAGTCTGTGGTTGAAAGTTTACTCTTTGCGGTGGCTGAAAAAAGCTTTTCTCCTCATTATAATGAATGTTAAGTGTTAACTGACAACCTTCACTTGTACTTCAAACCCCTTTTGCTTTTCAGTAGGATGCATACAACACAACCCAAGAGCCTAGTAAGAGGATAAAGGGGTAATTATTACATTTTTACTTATTATTTCTGGAAACTAAACAGATTTCACTTAGACAGAATATGCTATTACATTTTAATAAAAGCTGTTTGTCCTAAATAAGACTTTCTGTTTAGTCAGAAAATATATGCTGGATACCTTCTACATATCTAGCTATGTACAGCCTGATAGATCTTTGGATCGATAGAAAACTGAACTTTTTAATTAATGTGCTTAACCGATGTCTTAGGATAGGCTGAAATTTTATTATTTTTTTGTAAATTTACTATTTTGCGTGTGTGTACCGTCAAATCGGATCTGACTGGTATGGGAGGAGATTGTCCCCTCTTCTCCAGCAGAGCATCTGGTAGATTTGAACTGTGCACCTCTGGGATTGCTGTGTAGCTTCTTGCCACTATGCCAGGATAGGATGAAATTGAGTTAGGCACTTAAAACTTAACTGTGTGTTGAACAAAATAGTTGTGATGGGAGCACATAATTAACCGAAGACAATGCTTACAAAGCCATTAATCTCAGCCTTACCCCCCACCCCCATCACTGCCTGTCACTCTGTCTAGGAGGGACCTCTTTTCTTGTGTGTTCATTGTAACAGTTGCCAACCTCATTATTGCTGATTTGGCGGGGGGGAGGGGGGGCAGTTTATGTCCAAGGACGCATAACCATTGCCATTAGCATGCCTTTTGTGAAGATGTTTGAGCTGGAACATGGCTAAGGCAGCAGTTAGTATCTGAGTTTTGAAACCTCATCTGTCGGAAACAACCACTAATCCTACAGTTCCCAAGTGCAGGGAGTGGGGAGCTGCCTGAAGTCATGGGGGGGGGGGGGAAGATGGTGAAGAAGAACTTTTCTAAGCTGTTTCTCCTGCCTCCTTAGGTATTTATTTGTGGGATCTTCCTGTGAACCCAGTAACTGGAGATGAAGATGAGAGGACCAAGGCGATCAGCATGTTGGAGCACTCACTTCTCAGGCCAAGAGCTGGAGAACCAAGAAAACAGATCAGTAATTCAACAACTGGAAAGGCAAAGGAATTTAAGATCAAGTTTTGTTTTTAGGACAAGAAGAAAGTATCTCTCAAATTAGCCGTATGATGGTTTGAAATACCAAATAAAACATGTTTCAGCAAGTCTGGCTTTGGGCATAATGAACTGAGTATTGCTTCTATGTGTCCCTTAAGGGTGTGCTCCCTCCTCTCCCGTTTTGTTGACTTAAAGGAACAGGAGCTAGAAGCTTGTTAACCCAGGCTTGTTAATGACTTTAACTCAAGACATAACTAATGAAGACTGTGCCTATTTCTCAATATATAAGGTTTCAGGTCACAAATTGAAAAGCAACACATTTAAGAAAACCATTTTATTGAAAAATCATGTCATACAGAGTATTCGAATGAATAGAGACAAAGCATTTAAAAAGGATTCTAGTTTAGACTGTACTAGTTCATTTCTAGCTGTGCTCTGCTAAAGGCCTCTAGAAACTTCACTTTGTAACACCTGGCTCATAGTAAGGGATTTTTACTGTACTGAAAAGAAGCCAGCTGGAGTCGAGATTTGAACCGCTCAGCTTCTAGTTCCCGGAAGAAAGCATCCTCATCATTCTGTGTTATCATGTCCTGCAGCTGCTGGATTTCCTTCTCCATTTTCAACCTCAGCTCCCTTTTCACCTTACGTAACGTCTGAAAGAGAATTCACATCATCTTGCAATCCACAGTGTTAATCCAGGCCACCTGCTCATTTCCCACTCAACCTTTTGCTCACCAATAATTTTTTTTCTTTATCACTTTTTTTTAATTAGTTTGTTTATTTTTCATTTTTTTTTATTAGTTT